CTGAGCATAAGTTCAAGGTCCGACGAGCATTGGGCAAATCAATCAGCATGTTGGATGGAGATTGGAAGGATCCTTGATCTCAGCCAGCCCTCGATCATTAGAGTTCCACTTGCTGATCACCTTGGATGTTGTCAAAAATTGGAGATAAGAGGCAGGCAAGTGCAAGGATTGTAGTTAGTATCTGTATCTGACTTCGTCTCATCAACAATAGATTCCGATTCTTGTTTTCCTTTCTTTTTTTTTTTTTTTTTTCCATTTTCCATCCAGCCACCAGACAAACTCGGTGTGGATTCAGAGTCGGCAGACATTCGGTAGGCCGCCGCCCCTCTTCACAGGGCGACTGCAGTAAGCACGAAGAGAGAACGCTTTAAAAACCAAGGTCACCAAGAACGAATGGATTTCCTATCGGGCAACACAAACCCCGCTTGGTGGCTTTCCAGTTGCAGCGACATGCAGATTCCGCTAATGGCTTAACCTCTTCTTTTTGGCCCGAGAATCATGTTGCCGCAGTTACACCACTTATTTCTTTTTCGTTCTCGCTTTCTTTTCTTTTTTTTCTGTCTCTCTCGTACACTTCTTACTGTACGAGTTCTTGGGTGCTCCACTGGTTCTCTTTTAGTGACTAATGATGGATAGAATTGAATGGTTAAGGAACTTCCGATCGGGGTAACAGACGGAACATCATACTTGGCGGGAAGGTCTCACTGCTGGCAATGTCTTAGTTCTTGGTGGTGGTGGTAGTAAATGATGGTGGTAGTGAGGGAGATACGACATCCAGTCAGATGACCGTTCCTGGCACAGGCACACGAACCACATCAGAACCAGTAGTAGTAGTAGAAATCATAACCCACGGGCACCAAGCAGAAGGAACAACAACAATATCAACAACGAAAGCGACCAGACAAGTTAGTGCGGAGTACCCTGTACCGATGTCCCCCCTTTCAAGGTAGTATTTCTCTTTATCCCCCCCTACCGTGCAGCTTGCAGGTAAAAACAAAAAAACAAACACAATGTATCGTTAAACGGCTTATTATGCCAGGACAGATCAGAGGGTCACTCGGTGTTTCAGGTATATCCCGGTTACAATGCTTGCGAGAACATGCAGTAGGTCGACACTTAAATGCAGAGTGATGTGTCCTGCTTAGCTCGATCAACTAGCGGTACTAGTGAAGAATGGGAAGTTCAGGCATTAAGGCCCTACCATTTCTATAAACAAATAAATTAATTTCTCTAGTTATAGGAAGGAGAAGGGGATCTCAATCTCGGCCGCAGAAACCAAAATGGCGGGCGGGCCGGGAAATTTCATTTTCCTGTGACCAATCATGGATCTTATCGTCTATCCTGGTGAGGGATAATTGTTATGGTGGTTCTTTATCCCTTGCCTTCATTTTTGACTCTCTACTTTGTTGTTCTTTTTGAGGGGCGCCATTTGGTGATAAGCCGGTAAGTACTTAGTATGCGCCCGAATGATAATGCGGGATTTAGCTGGAGGTCTCAAGGGGGACGAGGGAGATTGATTGGCTTGGTCGGTTCCTACCTTTTTGAGGAGGTTCGGATATAAAGCCCAGGCTGACTAGTTACTACCGTCTCACTAGTTAGTAGTCATATAGGTGTAGCGATACTACAATACTATATTATCTAGCCCCTGGATGGTTGCGACCGGACCCAAAGAGGGTAAGCTGGTGAAGTACGGAGTCCGGAGTAATTGCTCCTAGTTTCTGCCTAAAAGTACGATGTCTGAACCCCAAGATAACACCAGGGGAAGGAAGATCTGGGTTGAGAATGAGGCGCCGTTTCCGACCGATGACTGTCCGAAGGAGCCATGTCCGCAATGATGAACTCTTACTATTCCTGACTAGCTTGATACTATGGAGTACTACTCTGTAATACTAGCAGTCTAGGTGTAAAGGCCACCTGACATGTTTGCGTGCGAGGGATCCATGGCATGGCTAGACTACAGTAGACTACTAGACGGTTGCTTCGGTGCTGCCCACTAGTGACTTACTACTGTATGTACTCCACACTTTGGTTTCCCCGGATATAAGGGATTCGCCGTTTGAGGCGGGATTGGAACATTCAAGCGCGCTTTGCTCGTGCTAGGTTGATAGTCCCTAGCAATTGGCCCATAGCCACCAATAGCGTAATAGAGAGTGTTTATTTGGTGAATCAGATGGTTCAACGTCTCACCTAGGTGAGTATGTTGGGTCTTATAGCTAATGTCTTGCAGACACTCAACCACTGCAGTCATCAAGAAAGAATCCGTTGGTAGGAAGCTCGTCCATCATCTCCATGGAGGAGTCAGCATCTACCACTCCGTTTGCGTCGTAGCTACAAAAATGTCCGTGCCAGGTTACTCCCCAGGTTTCAAGGCTCCTGGGCTATATATTAGAGAGGACCGTGCGGTTGGGCCATCCAATGGCAGGAACCTTGTCAGGATATCTGGCTTTTTGGACCTGGATCTCTCAACTCCGCATTTTTGCTGTCCCCGCTATTGAGATACACGTCAACGTGAGCTAGTTAAATGCGCCACTGATTTAACACAACGGTCGACCATGACGCCGCTTGGGGTAACTGACAGCCGTTGACATGGGACGGAGTGGTGCAAATAAGCATTAGGCAAACCAATGGTCAGGCACCCCGCGTAGGTTGGTCGGTCGGTTCGATGGCGTTCAGGCCAGCCATTGCAATCCCTTAACAAGTTTGTATTCTATTATCATTAGCTAATTAATTGGTGGCATCATGATGGGTCTATGACATGCGTTCCTTTCGGCCTTTGCTCGGATGTTCGGATAAGCATTCCAGCATCCAGGGATAACAAACAACTATAGTACTATCAGTGTTAGTAGCATAACGGCACAGTATATGACCCAGCTTTCGAAAGTTCGGCATTCGTATGAACCTCGTTCCGACTGAATGATAGTCGGGTTAGAACGGTGGAACCGCGGTTGACGTCCGATGCTACGGAGGACACTCTCCGCACCGTATGATGTTCGTCTGGTTAATGTATAGTAGTGTGTATAATTCGGACCCAAAGATTTCCACTTTTTTTTTTCTTTTCGTACTTTGCAATTCGATGAGCATTCAGGCAACATGCTATCGAGTCAATGCATAATTTCTCAAAATTGCCTTCCCACTTTAAGTATCTTTTTCTCGCCGAGGTACGGAGTACTCTGCGATAGTGGATCCTGGAGAAATTGCATTGAGAAGAGGAGCTGAAATTGATGCTTCCTGACTCGCTGACTCGTCAAATTCAAACTTGGCCCAGGATCCATGGTTTATGCAGTGGAAGGGAAACCACGCGAATGAGAATCGCCCGTGCTTGCCAACTGCGGAATCGGAACATACTACTACTATTGTGAATTAACGAACTGATCTGATTACGGCAGAACGTTCCCTCTTCCTTCGCCTCTGCAAAATGGAAGAATGGATGTTACTAGAAGCAACTCCTCCCGTACACTGGTACGCCAACCATGATTTAGACTGCAGGATAGGAGATGATATGCGCCCGCCGGAGCCCGTCTGTCAAGTTAGCATGGAAGTGACGCGGTTGGAAGGCAAAGCCCCGAATAAGATGTTGAGATGGCGACGTTGCTTGTCGATCACGCGGGAACTCCTTACAGGGGATCTGCAATGGCACTAAACCGGGGATAGACGATAGATGGAGGATATATCCACTTCCTGGGAAACTTGCAGCTCAGGCCCCGTCTTTCTCGCGACGACCGTTGAAAATCAATGCCAGTCAAGCGATGGCAGTTGCCTTTTTGTTTTTGAAACAGTCAGACAGGAAATTGTAGATGATCTTGACAAGCTGGTAGCGAAGGGGCGGAATGTGGATGACAATTTGTGCCTTAGTACTTAGTAATGGTGGGCCTTTCCGCTAAGTACAATCTCCGCATGCACCACCACCGAGTCAAACCGCGCCCGCGACTTATCAGCCGGCTTGATGTACCGTCCTCATCATCCGTCCATCTAGATAACCATTTGGGCCTGTGTGGTTTTGGGCCGTAGCTTACACACCCAACACGTGCGATCAGACATTGACCCAACCTAATGGAAACTGTATGTAGGCGGTCACTCTCTGAGTGAGACCAGTCAGGCAGGGTTGCTCACCGACAGTCGCCAGTAGCTTGGAATACGGCGGATGGGATCCCTTGTGGCTAAGCTATTGAATCTTTTGCGCTCTCCTCGCTTCGCCATCTTTACGTGTAGAAAATTTTCATAGTTTCAGCTTGCATGCTTATTGATTATATACAAAGTATAAGTACGCTAAGCCCGCGATTGTCGTGGTGTTTTGGAGGGTAGGCACTGCCGAAATATATGCAACTAGGATTCGAGTGCATTGACCGATTCCAGAACCCCCCGAAGAATATAGCGCATACTTACCGACCTGCGGCGTCAATATTCTGTAGTACTAGTGAGAAGTATAGTAGAAGAGAGCTTTTCACTTCCTCTTTTTATGTGCTAACGGGCACCGTTGCTTGACCAGGTGAATCATCCGTCGTGTTGTTTCAGTAATCTTCAGTAGTAAGCACAATCACCAAGATCCATCATCATGATGATATATCTTCAAAGCGGGGAGAAACCGCAAACCGTGTCACTGGAAGCAAACTGGTATGTCAAATACTGGGCATTGCATTGCACTGCATCAATAGTCCAAATTCTAATCTGAAGATTGACTGTACATCAGTCTCGTTTGCAATTGACCCGGCATCTCAGATCACTCAGATCCAATTCAAGTCTATTGCGCTCTCCCCGTGCACCCAACTGGGACACACGCATTCTTTCTTGGCTATAGCTTGTAGCTGACAAACAGGTGGCCATAGGGTTTGAGGATCCAGCACAACATATCCTCCGCACTGCTGTAGATGGATTCTGAATCGGTCTCAGGGATGAGAAGATGCGTTATCAGTCTCGAGTATCATCGCTGACATCATGTACACAACCGTAGTAAGAGAGTGAATAAGGTTCTCATCCATTGATTCGGGAGTCTGAACCTTCCCATGGTACACAACCGGGAGTGTGAGAGTGTGTTGTGTTGGAGGCTGCGACAAAACTCCGTGGATACCGGTCACTTCAACTTCCCGGCATTGAGGGGGAACACGGACCGTGGCTATCGATTAGGTTACTCTTGGTGGAACAATCTGAACCGCGGAATCCCTCACGGGAGGCTTCCACTGGTTGGTTAGAGATCAGCATTCCCTGAGTCGGGACATGACCAGGAGAGTTTTCCTGTCACTGGTAATGTAGGAAAATAAAAGATTAAATCATTAGTCTGATACATGTACTCCATACACGGTCCATAGAGACTATTAGTCTAGGTAGGGTTCCGAAATTGGGGATTGGCAAATCCCCCTCAATGTTTCGTCATGCTTTGTGCGTTGGGAAAAGAATCTGGGGTGGGCGATAATCCTGGCTAAGATCATTGCAGGATAATCGTCGAAAATCTTGACTCGTTTCATCAGGAGACTCGAGAAGAGACTGGAGTTTGGTAGAATCAACTTGGCAACCTTTTTGTTGTTGTTGCAGTCTTGGCATCGCGTTATCCTTGGATAAGAAGGATAATAATAATGACATTAATCGGTATTATTTGCAAACGCGATCGTCTAGTCATCCGTGGTGCCAGCGGCCGAGGTACCAATGTTAGTTACCTAGTGACTGTTACTACTACTTAAGTAGTCAAATAATACCAAAGTAACTAGTCAGTAGTACAGTGGTATAGTGTTAGCTAAGTGCTACTAGTTACTAGCTCTCTCCAGGCTGTTTCTCCGAGCTTCCGTGCTTGGGTTCAGTTCCTTGGAGGCAGACTCCATTTGGTAGTCATGGCGTGACAGCTAAGAAATTTAGCAGGCGTGTGGTCGCAAATCAGCTTCCAATTTGCTCGTCCGATTGGACTATTCAGGTTACTAGACAGTACTAATTGGTTCCAGTTGATTATGGTCTTATGCATTCAGCACGTTCTGTTGTTCTTCAGTAATTAATACTTTCTGGTATCAATTATCGATTTCTGCCGCACACCAAAGATCTGAAGAAAGCACTGCACCGAACTCCCAAAAAAGTAAAAAATAAAAAAGAAAGAAAGAAAGAAAAAAAAAAAGAAAAGAGATAAGGAGGCGGCTCTCTAGTTCTCTACTACTTATTGCGCGTACTCGGCAGTTAATCACTGATACCAACCATTACAGAGATCTGGTAATGTAAGTAGGAGGAGGTCCAGCTACTTTTTTTACTACTACGTACTCTCCGTGTCGGAGGGCCAAATCCCCCACAACGAACATCTCCTATCAAACGAGGGAAGATGGGCCGATGAGGCGAATGCAAAGACATCTTCAGTCAGCCAGACCCGCACATCGTTTATCCAAGTTCTCAAGTAGCGTCGCCTTCGATTACCTCGCAAGGATGGAGCCGGGTTTGGCCATTGTAGGGGGGGGAATGGTTGACCCGCTCCTAACGTAATATGGAGGTATTATTGGGGACGAATCGTATGTGCGGTACGATGGTTACCGAATGGCAACAACGGCCGCAGAACTACAACCCGCTAGTTTCCCAGCCTAACTTTAGTACCAGTTACCAATATGGAACCGGACTTACCGTACAGCCCCAAAGGTGTCTTAGTCTCACCCGCCTAGCTGGTCGAATCAGAGTGGTTGACTGATGCAGAAGGGGAGAAAAAGAGAAAAGAAAGAGTGGAAAGAGATTCAGGAGACGTTCGAACATTTAATCTACCTGATAATATTAGCTTCGATGATACGATAAGTGAAGGGAGGGTCACCCTCTCGAACCGAGCAAGAATGCTCGTTTACCATAATCCCCCTCATTCCTTGTCTTTCAAGAAATACTCATAATAATAATAATAATAGTATGATGGAAGATATGATTATGGCGAGTTCTCCTTGTATTTTCTGGTATGACTCGCAGCTGCAATAAGAGTCATCGTAGAATACCTCACCCCTACTTGGATGTGAGCTTTTTGAGATCAGATCAGAGTCTTCAAAAGATTTTCTTTCCTTATGCGTACGTTGCATACTACGTCCATACAATACACTTCCATCGGGTTTCCCCTCGTGGATTTTTAATCGGGCGGCCCCCCCAAATTGACCTCTTTACTTTTTCTGCTCCTTGTCGGTTCAACGAACTTAGATTGAACAAGAAAGCGAACGTGAGAAAGGCGAACAAAATAGAAAAAGAACTAAATACACATGGACGATTTTTAAGGATAATCACTGGATTGAACAAAAAGTGACTTACGAAGGAAAGAAGAAAAAAGAATAAGAAAAATTAAAAAGAAAAGTAATAAATCAAGAAATACTAACCAAAGAATCAAAAAGTAAAAAGGAAATACAGGGCACGGTTCGGGAGGGTGTGTGCCTGGCGTTCCTTCTCGCGTTCTCTGGAAAATCCCGTCCGCTTGTCTCCGCCTGTCAAGTCAGTCGGTCTCCCCTAAAGTTGAGAGCGAAAGAGAGAGTGTGTGAGAAAGTTGTAGTCGCAGCATCCCATCATTCCCTCCCCTCTCTCTCTCTCAACTCTCCCCCATTATCTTTCCCTCCTCCCTATTCTATTCCCTTTCCCCTTCTACTCCCTCCCACACCTTCAGCCCCTCTTGCTCTTCTTCCCTTTTTTTCCCTTTCCCGACCCATCCTCTCTGCTTTTCTTTTCCCATCCTTCCCGGCTCTCACCATCCCTCCCTCCTCCCCTCCCCCCCTGAGCGGCCCGTCTTCTGCTTGATTCAGAAGACAAGGTGCCTAGGATCTGGTTATCGTTTCCTTCTCGATCTCCTATTTGTTTTTGGCATTGTTCCCTTCTTGTCTCTATTCAACATTGTTTGTTAGCTCTGCTTTTTTCCTCTTCTCTTTTCTTTTCTTGTACATGGCTCGACCGCTCTAGACAGCTTCTGCCATCCCTGGAGCCTTGTGTTCCGCACGTCGTACCTCGTCGCCAGCTCTCCTCCCTCTTCGATCGCCTGATCCCGAGCCTTTCGTTTCTTTTGTCCTCGTCAGCATTCGTTTTTTACATCGACAGAACACTTTTCCTTAATTGTTGTATCAGTATAATTCGGTGGGGACATATTTCCTGCGAAACAGGTACGACCCCATTCCGCCGCTTGCCTTTGCACACCCCCCTTTCGAAACGGCAACCACATTCGCGTTGGAGAAACATCGGTCCTCGAGAGTTCAACTAGCCTTTGAACCGGCTTGTTCTTGTGCAATCCTGAACTGACAACTGTGTGTAGTACAGACTTTCCCCCTGTTGCCTTCTTACAATCTGTCTCCTTTTTCTACCCTTGTTACCTCTCCTCCAGACTTGATCGACGTTAGGCTTGGTTCATTTAGATTGGGCGCTGCGGACAGTCGACGAGCTTACCTGTCGACACATCTCTCCCCGGAGACGCTGTCAGCTACGCGTCGGATGTTATTTCGTTCCGGGTAGTGGAGGAGAACACCATGGCTGCGTTGGTACAGACAATCCCCCAGCAAAGTGGCACGGTTTCTGTGCTTCAAACCCGACCATCCTCTTCTTCGGGCACCTTCACAACTTCCTCGCAACCCGGGCAACAACAAAATCCGCGGAACTCGACGATGTCCTGGAACCCCTATAACAACAACGGCAGTTCGGGAAACTACAGAGTGGGCCACCAGGTCGTGGCCCCCTACGCCTTCACCAGCACCCCAAGCCCCTCGAATTCAACCAACATGCAAGCCCGTCAGTCACTGTCCCCTCATCTGAGGCCAGAGCATCGCACATCTTCAGCCCCTTCGGTGCCTCAGGGACCTGCAAGTCCCGCCAACGTCGGAGTCAACTCGCGTTTCGCCCATCCTGCAGCTGGTTCTGTATCCACTTCTTCCAATTCCTCCGTCCATTCCTACATGTCGAAAGACGACTCGGCGATTCCGACCAGACAAATACGTACCGATGCTCCCTTGCGCCCGCTCTCCACAGTTAACCTTCCTTCACCTTCCTCTTCGAATTTCATGAACATATCCTCACCAACTGTGGCCCGTCCGTCCCCCGACCGCTATCGTCGTGGAAACCGGCGACCGGAAAATGCTGCGGGCACCCAGCCCGCTTCCACGCAGCCTAACGGACCGGCACCTGCACGTTCTGCAACGTTAGCCACAGACGACAGTGCCCTCCACATGAGTACTCCCAGCCTTGCGGGTGTGTCTCTGGATGCCCCCCGCCGCATTGGGCATGTCCGCGTGCCCAGTGCTGATGATACTACGCGCGCAGATAAGCCTCAGACAGAGTTAGCCAAGAGGTATAGGCGCCGGAGCTGGGGAAACATTGATAACGCTGGTCTCATCAATATGCAGCTACACTTGCCCACATCATCGCCGACGCCGACAGCAGGTGGCCATGACTACTTCGATCAGAGCACGCGGCCCCGATCGGCACAGTCTCATAAAGAAGTCCAGGGAAGCATTCCGTCCGCCCATTCTTCGACTTCATCTGTACGTGATGCAGGACACAGCGAATCTGCATCATCCTCCAGTAAGAGCGGTCCCAAGACCGATGACAGCAAGCGACCGAACAAACCCTCACCGCTGTCTCAGCCGGTCGAGGTTGACTCTAAGCCCCCGACCCCCAAAGCATCCCAGCCTTCCACAACGCCAAACCCTGCTCCCACGGAGAGTCTCGCTTCCCAGCGTCTTGCCGAAATAACAAAGGGCGACCCTAAGCGACCAGGGAAATCCAGGCTGAGGAGGGCCTTTTCGTTCGGTAGCGCATCAGAGCTCCTCAAAGCTTCCTCGCAAAACAAAAGGGAAGCGATGGCTGCGGAGAGGGCTCGCAGGGAATTGCTGCAAGAGGAACTGGGTCCAGAACAGGCGGCCATAGCCGAACAACAGGAAGCGAGCGGCCTGGGCGAGAGCATTTACTCCTCACATCACCAAGGTCGTATATTCAACAGCTCCACCGACAACCTTTCCGTTTCATCGACAGCCTCCTCCGCCTCTATTATGCTACGCAAGATGGGCAAGGGAATGAAACGATCGACGCGATCATTGGTGGGGCTTTTCCGCCCGAAATCGGTGGTGAGCACATCTTCGACCGATGGTGTAATGATTGAGCCCATGGCACCCCAGCTGTCCGTGGTCAACATTGAAGCGGAGAGGAAAAGCACAGCCGTCACCTCAGACTCGCAAGACCATTCTCTTGGTAACTCGTTGTTCTCTAAGGTGGAAACCGATGCAGCGAACGCCGTGACCCATGAAGATGGTGCCCTGGACAAGTCGCGTAAAAGCATTGTCGGAGGAGACAGGGAGCGAGCGGAGGTTCTGGCAGCTGTGAGGAAGGGCATACTGAAGAGTACGTCTGGGTTACCATGATATGATCCTTACTTGTGATATGTCTCGTACTAACGTCCCATATAGAGACCTACTCGGACCCGGCTAACCAGACATATGTGCTCAAATCGTCTGAAAACATGAACGGCAATGACTCGCCGCATTCTAGCGTTCCCAGCACTCCTGAAGACCAGACTCGGTCAGGCAATCGGCGAACCGACGCGGTTAAAATTGCTGGCGAGGATGATTACCTCTCAGAAGGGCGGTTCCAGACCTCTGAATCAAAGAGCGCGCCTATTACCCCACAAGCTGTGATGCCGAAAAGTCTGGTGTTCAGTCCCCGGATCCAGTTCCACGAGACATGGCCGAGTGGGGAGTACGATCGACGTGGTGACATCGCCACGTGCAACCGGTTGACTCCCCTTCTTGCCCAACAAATCAAGGAGGAGCTGAACAATTTCAAAATGGTAAGGAACTCGTCCCTAATCGCCCCCTTTCTAAGTGAAGTCGATCGAGTGCTAACTATGCCGCAGGAGATGGAGGTCCACGAGACGTCAAAAATCTATACTCACTTTCTCTGAGCCGCTGCATTTCGAATGGCGTTCTTATTGCGTGTCTTGTGTTATTTACCCTTAGGAGGAGTGTTGGATCTATCAACGGCATGGTATTGAGCCTTGGTGGCTTCTAGACCTGTTTCCTTTTCGCTAGAGAGTCTTTTGGTTTCCGTCTTCAGTCCCATGCTGACTCGGTGTCTAATTGTCCGTCGAGTGTATGGACGTGACCGGGTCGCCCCTTTGTTGTGTTTTTTTTTTTTTGCTATGCGTTCTGGGAGTTATGGCGACAGCAACATTCAGGTCTTGGTCTTGTGTCGTGTTCTTTCGTTATTCTGCGCATGGAGATTTATGGGGATTCTACTACAGCAAATGAAGAATAGTGGATCGGCTAAGGGAGGCATCGCCTATGACCCGGTTCCGGATCATTTGGCTTCGATCTACGTCGCACCCAGGATTTGGGCACCGATTTACTTTTTGCGCTTCCTTTCTCCCTCGGCGGCCTGTCACAGCTCGTGCTTTTCGCTTCCTCTTTAATCGTCTTCCTTTCTCCCTCGAGCCCCGATTCCTGGCCGATCATTGCATGCAAGCCACACCGTCTCTTTGAAGTCTCGTTTTGTTCTGCGAGCGTGAAAATTGGGCAGCATCTCTTTGCACATTGTCTCATAGTGTTCATTGTGAAACGTTCTTTTGCTGTTTTCTATTTCCTGCAAGCATCGATCCTTTTTATCGACGTGTTGTCCGTGTACAGCTTTCTGAGACCGGTACACAAGTGAATGTCTCGCAGCATCATCATCATCATCATCCATCATCCAAGCATTGACTGGCAATATCAATGCAATTTTCTTCTTCTCCGCCCTATCTTACGCAATGCTTCCTTGGGATTACATATAGCTGGATTCTAGTTTTGAGGGTGGTTGTCTGGCAAGTCAGCAGACATCGGTCGTAGGTCGTAGAAGTGTATCCCGATGAATTCGAAACCGCGTAGCCCTCGAGCTTCTGAACAATTCCATTATGATCTGGCTCTGTCAAACATAGGGAGAGGGATGGAGGCAGACAGTGTAATTCTGCTTCAGACCATAGCCACCGTATTGCTTATTCAAAGAATGAAGTAAAAGGAAGAAAGAAAGAAAGAAAGAAAGAAAAAAGTAAAACCAGAAGGAGATGACAGCGACAGCCACTAAGTAAATAAATAAATAAGGCCTCCAGGCAAGAGAAGGAAGGAATGAAGGGTAGGTAACTAATTAACTAACTAACCCCCACGCTTTCATCTACAATGGAAAGCGTATGAGTGGATGAACATGCAAAACCCGGCCCCGATCCCGATAGTACCACGCGAGAGATCCCGAGGGTAAATAAAAGCCAATGAGACGAGAATGAATAATCGGGAAGAAGGAAAGAAAAGAAAAAACTGAAAAAAAGAAGACAGAAAAAGGAAAAGGAAAAAGAAAAGTCTCTGCGGCATCAGCTGCCACATGTTGTTGCCGGGGTTCAGGTTAGTTAGTTAGGGGGAAAACACATTCTTGGCAAATCGAGGATTTTGCCGAGGGGTGGACCTGGGGATTATACCTTGCCTGCTTAGTTGGGTGGTACTTTGCTTGGCTATTCGGGTGGAATCTTAGTTTTGAAGAGGTGATTATGTGCGGAGTAGTATAGTAGCTATTCGGTTTCGATGGGTTGGATATGGGAGGAGTAGTAGGTATTCGGGTGAAAAGTAGATGGATGTAGACTCGGCTGCTAGTAGTAGATAGACTTGTTATGGGATCCCGATGGATGGATGGTGGATGGATCAGGTACATTACGAAGTAAGGTACTGCTTGGTTGTTCCAACCGGGTAGTTACTTTCATGAACCATGGACAGGCTGGCTACTGCTTACTTTCATGGCCTGATCTCTCTTTCCGTGTGTGTAGGTGGCGTTGAGAATGAATTTTCTCCATTATTTTCCTCCTTCGGGGGCGGGGGAGCAGACGGGGGGCCGAATAGATGATCTAGCCGGCATGTGCGATATATGCCCGTGTCGCTAAGCCAGCAAGGAAGTAATCCCTCTTTCCCGATGGCCATGGCCTCTTCTCCTCTCTCTTGTTGAATGTCGGGTCCATCCGCCGGTAAACTCTTCAACCTACCATTGATGACGAAGATGTTTTTTTGCTGACTGACCTGATGATCAATCAAACCAGCGGTGACTCTCGTGCGTGAAGGAAGGGGAAAGAGGGGGTGGTGGTAGTGGTATTCCCGTATGACCAATTAATATCCACCGTGGTGGAGTTGCATCCATCCATCAGGAAGTACGGAGTACATGATTGATGATTGATCCTTTGGGAAAAGACCGGTTGAAGCCAGAGCCGGGGTTGAGAGGGTAGGGATCTTCCGCCTGGGGTCGACACCGTAAGAGCGAGCTTTTTTTGTTTTTTTTTCGGGCCGGTGTTCCTTGGCACCGACCAAGTTGGTTTAAGTTTTTCTCGGGGAATTGGATCGGTCTGGGGTTGAGGATTGCGGGATGGTTGTGGATGACTGTATGTGCCTTGCAGTTTTTCTTGTTACTCAAAATAAAAAGGTAGACGTTTTGAGTTAAAATTGAAGAGAATTCATTTGTTTGCAAAGAGTAGGAATTAGATCTTACCCGATGGATAAATGTATCTTTTCTTTTCTCGGGGAATTTAGATGAAGAAGAGATGTAGAGGTGTGTCTTGTGGAGTGAAGAGAAAGAGAAAAGTGGAGAGCAGGAAGAGGACCCTCGCTCGGGAACCCCCACGGAATACTGCTGATGGCCTCCCACGCTCTTAGTTCTCTTCCCTCTCTCTCTCTCTCTCTCTCTCTCTCTCTGTCTACTCCATACTACAGCAACAACATCATCATCATCATCATCATCTTCTTCTTCTTATTTCACCCCCACGCCAGTCGGCCCTCTCCACAAATGGCATCCCACCAGTCCCGACGGTTTCCCCTAATGATCCTGATCTCATCTCCAGACTCTCTCCCCGCTTCCGTCTTCCCCATTGGCGGGGTTGGCTGTTTCTAGTCTTCTACCATGTCTTCATTCCCGATCCCCATTGCCATTGCGGCTTCTCTTCCCCGTCTGTCTCCCCATCCTTCGGGAACCTCGTCGGGTCGTCATCGCTCGGTTCTCTACTCTCTGACCACATCAAAAAGGTCCCCTGGTCCCGACTGCAGCTGGCACCATGGTCCCGTGGTTTACTCTACTCCTCCTCCCTTTCTCCCTCTCCTCTTCCTAATCTTTCCTATCTCTTGATCCCCTTGCCCTCCCCTTACTTGAACCGTTTCCACCTCCCTCTCCTGTTGATCGATTTTGTTTTTCTTCTCACGTTGTCATTGTCTTTGTTTCCTTCCTGTTGCCTCATAGAAGGCCAGTGTCAGACCATCGGAGACAATCATGTCCCCCAGAACTTCTCATGATGTCGAACGGGACTTCGACAAGAGCCATGTCGACAACGTCGAGATCGTGACCGATGGGGTGGCCAATGCCGACAAACCCAACCCCAAGAAAGAGGCCCCGGCCTATGTGGCCAGTCTCTCTCCCGAGGAGCGTGAGAGAGCCGAGAAGGCCCTGGTCCGCAAGATTGACCTGCGTCTTCTGCCCATGATCATCATCATGTACATCCTTAACTATCTGGACCGGAATAATATTGTAAGTGGCATGCTTGAATTTGTCGCTATACGCAATCCTGTGCTCACTATTCTGGTCGCTACCAGGCTGCTGCCAAACTCGCTGGTCTCGTCACCGACTTGAACTTGCAGGGCGTGGAATACCAGACCTGTGTCAGTATCCTGTTCGTGGGTTATCTGTTGATGCAAAGTAGGTGCAGACCTCTATTGGCAGAGTAGCAAATACTAACAGTACCAGTTCCCTCCAATTTGCTCCTGAACAAGTTCGGAAAGCCTGCCCTCTACCTTCCGGGTGCTATGATGCTATGGGGTATTATCTCTACGTGCACGGCGGGAGCTCAGAACTATGCCGGCTTGGTTGTAGTTCGCTTCTTCCTCGGTTTCGTTGAAGCTGCTTACTTCGTACGTCTGCCTAGACGGAAATAATATATTTCAGAGCGCCTTACTGACTTCTATTCTCCCTTCCAGCCTGGCTGTCTTTACTTCCTGAGTGCCTGGTACACTCGCAAGGAACTCGGCTTCCGCACTGCAGCTCTCTACTCGGGTTCCCTGATTTCAGGAGCCTTCTCTGGACTTATTGCCGCTGGTATCACTGAGAACATGGACTACAAGATGGGTCTTCGTGCTTGGTTAGTTCCAAAATAAAGACATAAGACGTGCAAATCGCTGACTTGAGAGCAACAGGCGCTGGCTTTTCATCATCGAGGGTGCAATCACCATCGTTGTTGCCGCCATCTCCATCTTCATTCTGCCCAACTTCCCCAGAACCACCAGCTGGCTCAGCGAAGAAGAGAAGCAGCTTGCCGCTTGGCGGCTGGAGGAAGACATTGGTGAGGACGACTGGGTGGATAGTGAACAACAAACCTTCCTCCACGGTGTGCAATTGGCCTTTACCGATATCAAGACCTGGATTCTTGTAAGTGCCCATTTAGAGAGACACTGCCATTCACCCAGCTTACACACGTAGATGCTGCTCATCTTGTGCATTGTCTCTTCCGCCTCAGTCACAAACTTCTTCCCCACCGTCGTCAAGACCCTCAACTACGGCAACATCGAGACGCTTCTGCTCACCGCTCCCCCATACGTTCTGGCTGTCATCTGTGCCTTTGCCAATGCCTGGCATGCCGATCGCACTGGCGAGCGCTACTTCCACATCACCCTTCCCCTATACATCTCCGTCGCGGCTTTCATCCTTGCTGCCACCACCACCAGCATCGCTCCCCGCTATGTCTCGATGATGCTGATGGTCCCATCCCTGTACACCGGCTACGTGGTAGCCCTGGGTTGGATCTCCAGCACTCTCCCTCGTCCGGCGTCGAAGCGTGCCGCAGCTCTGGCAGGTATCAACTGCGTCAGTAATGCCAGTAGTATCTATGCCAGTTACATGTACCCGGACAGTGATGCGCCACGATTCGGTAAGTACCGTCAACCGATTTACTATCCTATGAAATCAAGACACTAACTGTAATACTAGTCACTGCCATGACCGTCAACTGTGTCACCGCCTTCGTGGCCATTCTGTCCGCAACTGCCCTCCGCTTCATCCTCGTCCGGCTGAACAAGAAGCTCGATCGGGGCGAGGGCCTGGGCGATGGCGGAGGTGTCCCTGGCCAAGCCAGCTCCAGGGGCTTCCGTTTCTTGGTTTAGAATTAGATTGTTTTGTTACGACTTCGGATTGTTATGGGCTGCTTTATATACCCCGAGCGGGTTATGGTTATGGTTTTGGTAAATATTTGCACACAGCATTTCTATCAGATTTTGGGTCATCTAGTTGGCTGGCTAGTATCATGACGAGTATGCACGATGCATGATGCATTATGATGTGTTATTTTACCTATTTATTATTGGGTATTGAATGAAGACATGATCTGAATACAAAATGTGATTTTAACTACGACATACCCCCAAATACATCAATTAAGACCTATTATCTTATTACCAGAAACTCTCAAAACCCCTCAATCAGCCCAAGACTACTTGAATAAAGACATGATCTGAAAACTAAATGTGATTTGAACTACGACATACCAGGAACCCCAAACACCTTTCCCATATCCCACCAGAACCCTCAAGACCCCTCGATCTAAACTCCAAAGCTTACATGAAAATAAAGACACAATATGATACAAATCATGAAATTGAACTAAAACAACACACAACAAAAACCTCAATAACCCCTTTTTCTACCTACACCACACTAAACCTCTCTCTCTCTCTCTACATCGCTCAAGCAAACTTCAACCTCTCCACACTCCACCCCGGTCTCAACCCCGCAGTCTCCAACCCAGCCACATCCAACGAACTATCCGCCACATAATTCACCTTCCAATCGACCGTAATCTCCGCCCCATCCTCCGTCTGCGCCCACACCGCAACCCCAATCGTATTCTCCCCACTATAATCCAACACCCCCACGGGAACCGGGAACACCACCTGGTTGCCAATATACGGATTAAACCGTCCGTATTGGTATCCGTTCACGAATAACTGCGCGCGGTACGCATTCGGTGCGTTGTCTGGTGTGCCCAGTACGAATGAGATGGAGACGTCTAGGCCTCGTGGGATGTTCAATGGGATGGTGGCGCGGAAGAATTTCACTGTTGCGCCTGTGAAGGATAGACTTGATGATGATGATGATGATGATACACTGGGCCAGGTGCTGTCGTCGAACCCGGGCAGATGCCATCCGACGCGCTCTGCGTAGAGCCCGTCTTCGTTCCAGGCCCCGCGGACCGGGTCGAGGTTGGATTCGCCGCCGGCGGTGCCGGCGAGGCGCCAGTGGGTGAATTCGGGGGAAGTGGTGTTGTCGGTGGAGGAGGGGAGGAGGCGTGCTTCGAGGATGCCGCGTGGGTTGAGGGCGCCGGTGGTTTCGTCGTGGCCGGTGTCGTCGTGGATTATTAGGAGGGTGTTTTGGGTGGCTTGGTGGGTGATGTTGGTTGGGAAGACGAAGGTTTGGTTGGCTTGTTCGATGGAGGCGTTGCCCAGGTAGGAGCCTAGGAAGTGGCCGTTTAGGTAGGCGGAGAAACCGCTGGTTTTTTGTTAGATGGGGGTGGTTGTTTGTAGGTGGAGGGAGAAAGGGGAAGGAAGGGCTTACAATGCGCTGCCTCCTTGGACGTTCAAGAAGACTCCGCTGGCGGTGCCGTTGAAGTAGCCGCGCCAGAGACGGACGCCGTTGTGGAAGCCTAGGGTGGAAGTATATTAGGTTAGTTTGTTAGGTATAGAGGAAGAGGGTAGACGTACCGTATTCGTCAGCGTAGAGGACGGGCAGTGTGGCGGGTTTGCTGGGGTTGGCGGTTGTCATGTGGTTTGCATCTGGGATAGAGGTTAGTATCGGGTGAAGGAGTTGAAGTGACGA